TGAATTGAGTCATGCGGCTGTTTATATAAACTTTGGTGTTTAAAAATCGGCTCCAGGGATATCGGCGGGAAAAAGGATCTGTTTCGACTTTCCTAAAGTTTAGTGTTTCTTAACCAATAGAAGATTGAATTTACTGAAACGAAGTGGTGATTGATTAAGGCTTTTTGGAGGGGGGAGAATACATCTTTTCCGAAAGGGATGGAAAGCTAATGTGGAAGATTCCACAAAGTGTATGAGGGTTGAAACAGATTAGTTTGGTTTGGCCTTGTTAGTTAGATAGCCCACCATAAGAGGGGTATAAAACAAGAAAATCAAATTGTAAAGTGAAACAACAAATTTATATACATATAAATCAATTAAGGTCTCTACAAATAAAATTAATGTATTTTGATTGATACAAAGTCGTCAAAATGTTCGTAGTAGTCCTTGCAAGAATGAGTTTATGTGTACGAAGGCAGGAACGTATGTATGTATGTATGTATGTATGTATGAGCGTTATCGTAGGGTAGGAATGTCTTTGAAGTAATCGCTCAGTCTTAAAATGTTCCGTTCGTTTATCAAGTATAAAAGAGGTGAGGGAGAAAGGTAGAGATAATAATAACGATCGCTTGACGTTGGTCAAGGTTAATACGCTCGTCTCCTTCTCTCTGGTGACAGGCGAACTTGCCCGTCCTTTATTTTGTTTGTGGGGCCTGAAAAGTTCATTTGGGAATTCACTCCTGATTATAATTCGGGCCTTTCCATTGGATGACGAACAAACTTCAAAATGTTTCCTAGTTTTCTATTAGTCGAAAAATATTTCGCATCAAGGTGTGAAATTTCACGAGTTTTGTTTTGGATTCGCTTTTGCGTGTGTATTAAGCAAAGTTTGTAAATTCGAATCTTTTTAATTTCTAACAAAATCAATGAGTCAGTGCTTAGCATTTGAATTTTAAATCTAGATCTTGTTTTGTTCACTACACCTCTGTCTCTCTTAACTTCAATCTGTTCTGTGAGTATTAGATTTTCCAAGACCTCTTTCGCCATTATTTGTTCGCGTATCCTTTGAGAAGAATATAATATAGGATATCATACAATCGATAATAGACAAGTAGTTGTTTATAATCATATTCGACTGGCCACCTCAGCGTGGTGTAATGGTTAATCATCTTGTCTTGGTAGAACTATTACGACTGAGTAGTGAGTTTGATCCTCACTGGGTGCTTTATACTTTTGACCGTGTGTCGCATCTAAGGTACGCTGTAATCATGTTCAACACATTGTTACATATTTAATGAGATAGACGAGCTTTTCTCTTTTCAACTATTAAATCAGTTCTGGTAACTGTTTTTGTGTATCTGAATACCATTTCATACGAAATACCTCTTTTTCTTTTTCTTTTTCTTTTTCTTTTTCTTTTGCAAATAAATCCTGCTTTTGTGTGCTTGCCATAGGTTGAAAAAAAAAGAATTCTAAAAATTTCTTGGTTTTTTTTTTTGTTGTTTTTTTCGAAATAAATTCGAACCATTACCTATCTTGCATCTTGGGGTCGGGTGATATATACGGAGTCTCTTCAGTTTGGATAAAAAAAAAAAAGGGGGCATGGAATTGTAAAAAAATTTTCACATAAATTTTTTAATGTTGGGAGAAAATGCTGCAAAAAAACTGAATACCCGACCGATGTCAAATTACTCTTCGCCGAAGGATAGCTGATATATAATGAAATAAATAAATAAATAAATAATAATAATAATAATAATAACATTATTTCGGAAATAAAAAAATGTTCACTAAGTGTTTCTCCTACCTAAAAACGAAGTCTTCAATAACCAATGAGGTGTTCGGACGATCTTTTCTCGAGATGCCTAGATTTGAGCCCGTTTTTGTGTCGCTATAAAATTCGAATGCTCTAGAAAAAAAAACCAGAGGCAAGGAATTCAAACCTGCAGTTATTTGAAAAGCTAACTGAGTGATCCTGTGTAGTGTACCCAATGATGAAAATCGCTATTCATTCACACGTTGTCGGGATGATAATCACATGGATGAAATAAACATTTGTTGCGGCAGAGGACAACCAAAAATTACCAATTTGTTCTGAAACAAACTTCAAAGAGACGCAGACCAAAATTTCGTCACATCGTTGCTACAATAACATCTCTTTCTGTCTAACTCACCATAATATTCTTCGTGATTGTTATGTTTGACCTCTACTGTTGACAGGTCTAAATTTCACATCTTCCAGAGAACTTTCATTATACCCCGTTAAGGATATTTTTGATTTTATCAATCGCAAGTCCTAATTTTCAAATGAATATCTTTTAATTTTCAAATGAATATCTTTATCCAGCTTAATTTTCATTAGGCACTCAGAAAAATATTTTGAGCAGGCCATTATATCCTTCTTTCATTCCCAATTTAAATTTAATTGTGTAGGGGAGTTATAATTCTGAGTAAATAATTATAAACCCCCTAACATTTAAATATACAAAAATATTCGTAAAAATGAGAAACAGCAAGATGTAGAAACAATAAAACGATTATTATTTATTATTTGGTTTTTATGTAGTGTTGGAGACACGAGAGATACTGAATAACATTGTGAGTTGGGATCAAATGTAGATCAAATATGGATCGGAATCCGGCAGAATGAGAAGATAAAGAATGCGTAAAGTGTATACAGTCTTTGTTGTATATAATTTTTATACATGTTGTAATGAGTGTCAAGATAATTTAGTTGGAAAATAATAGAAGTGTCTGCAGTTTTCTTACCTCGAATTTTGTTGAGTATTAAGAGACAAATGTTACCATTGTAGCCTGAAAAAGAAAGGAGCCGAAATTTTCATTAATTTTCGTGGTCCTCTGTTAACTGAACTCTCGTACACACGAACATACACACACGTGCATCACACACACAAGCGCGCGCACACACACACACACACAACAAGCACAGCTATATAGCTAGTTTCAATGTCTTTTCCTTTCATTTCAGTTATGTACACATGCAATTACTTTTGTTAATACATGCATATAACTGCTGTTTGTTTTAAATTCATTTTTTGTGTTACTTATTTTACCTGGACTCACATGAGTCCACCAATATTGTCTGCGTGACAAATGTTCCAGGATCCCATAAATATCAACTATGCAACGTCTACAACTCATATCAAAAGTATTGATTCCCACTACAAAGTGGAGATTTATTTTTTTACTCGAACAACATAGACATCCTGCAACAATTGTAAATAATTCTTTCTGTTCAATTTCACATCGAGTAAGAGTCCTTATTTTCTTTTGTGTCTAATAACCCCACTTATTTTCGTTTTATTTTCTATATTGGAATAAAATGCAACTAACATAGCAATCAAACAAAAGGTACATACATAAGCTTAATGTTGTTATTTTGTTGATACAGATGTCTATCCTGTTCAAGTTGCATACGTTTCAGATCAAATGCCTTCTCAAAATACGATGGTTCTCGTCAGTTTAGAATGATTAATTTTAGAATTGTTGTTTTAGAAAACTCGGTAAAACTTTATTGTAAAAAATCTTTCCATATAACAGTGAAACGAAATTTAATGTATGGTTCACTGTAAAATCTTTTTTCTTTAATTATAGCATATCACACTTACCTAGAGTGAAAAAGTAAATATTTTAATACTTTGACAAGTTTCACAATATCCAGTAGCTAAAAATAAAATAAAGTAGCATTTTAATTCTGATTTCACAACACCTACACACACATTGAAATCAATTTCACCTGTATTAAGTTCGAAATAATAATAACTCACTTCACCCACGCCCTTCAAATTTGGAGGACCGAGAAAGAAGAAGGAAAGAAATTCATGAACCTATGTGAGATTTTTGCCTTTCACAGAAATTAACCAGTTAGCTGAGTAAGAAGAAGGAAAGAAATCCGTGAGCCTATGTGAAATTGTTTTTGAAACAATGAAAGCCTTTCCTTCATAGAAATTAGCCAGATTAGAAGAAGGAGGAAAGAAAATAGCGAGTCTAAGCGAATATGTTTTTGATATAAAACGAGGAGAAAATTAAATTAATGAGAAGAGTGTAGAAGTCATGTGAAAGGAGGTTTCATTTCAGTTCATGATCAACGTTGAAGTACACACCAGTATAAATCACTCACCAATTATAGTACTGGCCTCTAAGCACTTCAAAGAATTTACTCCCAATAATCCAAGAAAGCTAAGTATTTCAAACTATCTCTCTTCGTCTACTTTTGAATGTATGTGTAATAGGATTATGTAGTAATAACACCCTACGAAAATATACACTTTCCACTTTACTAAGTGAGTGACAAAAAAAAAAAGAACAAAAAAAAACAACTCTTTCTCCCTATCTTCTATATATTTCCTTTCCTTTCCTTCCTTCTATTGTTCCTATCCTCGATAACGGACATGAATCCGGACTTAGTTTATGTAGGTCAGTGAACGTCATAAAAAAAATATCAACTAATGACAACACGTCCCGCCAAAAATCAAACGGGAAACAAGCATGTGTCAGCTCCAATAAAAAGAAGAAAACAACGTACGAGACTAGAGACGCCACAGTGAAGAGGAACTTGATACGAGGTAGCAGTTCGAGACGCAAGGGTTGGTGATTCGTCAGCTGTGAGTTTGACCTGACGTACAACTCCAGAAGAGAAGGAAGAAGAAAGGATAAATGCAACGAATTAATTTCCGTCAACCAGAAGGAACACAATAACCCCTGTATGAACTCTCAAAAAAGAAAAAAAAAAAAAAAAAGAACTATGACGATAGTCAACCATTTTAAACACTGTAACCAAATGCAGTCAACAATAAATGGTACTATAGACAATAAATTTGGCCTTTACTTCATCTCTATATACCATACTGGTGAACCCCGACGTTGAAGAGAACACTCTCCCATAATGACGAACTGCGACGTTGAAGAGAACACTCTCCCATACTGGCGAACCGCGACGTTGAAGAGAACATTCTCCCATACTGGCGAACCGCGACGTTGAAGAGGACACCCTACCATACTGGTGTACCACGACATTGAAAGAACACCCCTACAAAAGGAGCTACATATTAGTAACTCCGGCGAACTCCCTTCAGCGAGAAAAAGAAAAGAAAAGAAAGACATACGACAAGTCTAACCACATGACAAAAGCATAAATCTAGGTAAGTTATCGTTTCCTTTTCTTTCGTTTCCTCTATCATCTTGTATATTTTCGTACGGTTGTATAAAACAATTTATAAAAATGGAGGCGCAGCAAGTTATTGTCAAACCTCCACAATTTATGGAGACCGGTGTCACCGGTTGGTTCACTATAATTGAATTGCAATTTCATTTGAGATAAGTGACCACTAACAATACACTGTAATTAGTGTCTTGCCTCTTGATGTCGTTACAAACATTCCAACCCACGTTTTAGAATCAAGAAATTATACGAAGCTCAAAGAATCAGTTGTGAATGCTTATGAAAGGACCAGGCCAAAACTGTTAGAAAAATTAATGAAGACCACCGTATTAACTGGTCGTCCATCATTATATTTACAGGAGATGTCGGCCATTGCAAGTAGGATTGGGACAAGTTACGAAATAGTACGCCACAAATTCGTTAGAGCCCTTCCGCCACAAATTGTCCCAGTTATAGCAGCGCACGCAGAAATACCTTTAACAGACATGGGTAGTCTATGTGATAACTTGCTGCCACTAATTCAAAATGCATCAATCTGTCAAGGTATAGAACCTCAACACAAACAACGTAAGAACAACATAAGACATACAACTCAAGACGAGAAGGAAGAAGAAAGGATGAATGCAACGAATTAATTTCCGTCAACCAGAAGGAACACAACCACTCCTGTGTGAACTCTCAAATTACAAAAAAAAAAAAAAGAAAAGAAAAATAACTATGACGACAGTCAACCATTTTAAACACTGTAACCAAATGGAGTCACAATAAATGGTACTATATATAATAAATTTGGCCTTTACGTCATCTCTATATACCCTATTCAAACCATATTTCATTTCTATGAGCAACAAACTCTCTTTACTTTGTTTTAAACATTTTTTAATATTATTTTGTGTTAGATCATTTAATTTGCTGTATGAACATTCCCTCTTCATGACAATACGTTAAAACTACAGACCTTAAGAATTCTGATTTATTTTCATGAAAAGTACTACTGGCACTCCTTCAAGTATGTACATTTGTGAATAAATTCCTTATCTTATATTGTTAAAATTATCCGTGTCTTTTCTCATCATTATCATCCTTCATTAATCTTCTTAACATAGGTAAATCAACTGTTCATTTTAACCCCTAAGCTCCATACCACTATAATCTGGTGACCCTTGACGTGCGAGGAAACACATACCTATTCACTTACTAAATTAATCACAAGTGAACATGTCTGACAATGAACATCCACGGATGTCGGTGAATTGAGTATCCATTAAAACATCCATGTTCATTGAATTGAATGTGATTGTATGGTTCTCAATTATGGAGGCCAGTTCAACATAAGGGCACACATATTGCAATTTTGTCATGGGTGGGTTGCATCACCGCCGGAGATCGTATGCAGACTACAACCTACCATTTTACAGTCGGGAGATTATAGCAAATTTAAAGAAACAGTCTTAACATTGCTTGAGAAATAAAAACCAGAGATACTTGACATATTAATGTTTCTTCCACTCTCACAAGCAGACCATATGTTTCTTTTATATTTTTGTTGTAATTTGCCATAAAATCCCTGAAATCAGATACATTTAAAAGTAGATTTAGTTTGTTGTGGATCTAGGAAGTCTAAGTGAATATTTTAAGTTGTACTGTAAATAAAACATGCAATATTCACAAACACAAATTTAAATAAAAAATCAAATGATAACGATATTCAATTACGACAAAAAGGGTAGCTTTAGGAACAACATATGTATTTTTTATATGCAGAATATTACAATTTTGTTTTGTAATGATGTGTGCTAAAGCTTGATCAGAGTATTTTTAAATAGAAAAGTTCTTGTTGTTAGTTTGGAAATGTTTCGTATGTTTGTAATGTAGTTTGGAAAATTTCGTACGGACGTGCATGTGTGAATATGTTTTCATGGCGTCTGACCGCACATAGCCAAGACGCGAATCCTTTAAGGTTACATTTTCGTAGGCGAATGAAGAAAGAAGAGAGAGAATGAACTGGTGTCTGATATTTATAATTAATGTAACCATGTGACAGGCTCCTAGAAAAAGAGCAGAAAAACTTGACTTGGTCACGCGCTGGAAAAAGACTTGTACGTGGGTGGATTGCAACGCCCACTTGTTTGTTTATTGACCAATTAGAAGTTGATATTTCCTGAAAATATGTATGAATCTGGGTAACCTCTTTGATCCACTTTTTTGCACAGATTTGTACAAAATTCAACATTGATAAGAAAGTTTTATCGGGATGCTAAAAGTTAATATGAAAGTAATAAAATGAGGAAGGATACCATAACATTTGAATTGGAAAGTTCTTTTTTTATGATTTCTCGTTGTCATGGTAGTAAGGGAAGGTGAGCACCTAGACTCAAGAAAAAAGTTATTTGGTTCGATGATCTGGCTAACTCTGTGTTTAATATGTTGTTAAGTGTCCTTATAAAACTGGCATCCTAAAAGTGGCACATATTGATGTGTTTATTTCATTTCTTTTTAAAGCTTCTCTCTATTGGCTGAAAAAAGTGTTGTCATATTACTCTCTAATTTACAAACATTCTAAGAACATTAGATAACAAACCGATATTTTTATCGGTGCATGTGTAACCGTAACAACATATGTGATGCAGTTGTTCACATTATGCCAATGACAAATTCAGAAGGCAAAATGAAAGAACTATAAGACAAAGTAGTCATTGAAAATAAGAAGTAATGACTGACTATTAATTGTAAGAAAAAGGAATTTATGATAATGGGCACAGAGACACAGTGGGATAGAGACAACCCAAGATGTGAGTTGTACATTGGGGATGTCAAATGAAACAAGTGCAGAAAAGAAATTCAGCTATTTGGATAAATGTAATAAGAGATGACAGTGTAGCGTACGTACCAAATATAGCGTCGGGTCGAATCACTAAATGTAGCAGGAACACCAAATATATAGGTACTATTACTATTTATATTAATGATTCTTCCATGTACAGGATTCAAGAAATAATAACAACAACTCCAATTTGTTAACCAACAAATATATATGGAATAAAATACAGCAACAAGCATGAAATAAAATCGTATTCACAATGTAGATTAAAGAGAAGGAAGTTGTTTCCCTTTGACTGTAGATTGATTGTAATCATTTGAAGAAAGTTCTCTTGTGAGATAAATGTTCCGAAATAATTGTTAGAGCAAAGTTTGCATGTGAAGAATGAATAACATCAAGAATACAATTGCTTGAAATGTGTTGTGAATAAACTGGCTTGAATCAACAAAGTTCTGGTTGATTGTGCTTGGCGAAAGTTACAGAGAGAAAATGTACTTACATTTTCTCTCTGTAACTTTCGCTGTGTTTTGTAGTTACGAAATTCTGTGTCTCTGTGTGCGTTAGAGTGTGATGAGCAAGATCGTGGATTTGACGGCTGGGATCGTACTGGCGACTTGCGAAAAGTTGCCCTATTTAAGGAAAAGGTGTAGGTTCCCACGGAACTGCGAGAAAACTTGATCTTACATTAAAAATATGTGATTGGGTAAAAATTAACCAATCACTACACACGTACTAAACAGAATAGGTAAGTATGATCAGAACCAAAAGATTCAAAGGAACGACTGCGATGGCTAAATTGTCCTATACAAAGGTAGTAGTCGAATAAAATGACTTGGAGTGTATGTGGGTGTGAAAAACATAGCAACCGCTATACTACACGCCCCCCAGGTTGAAAAAACATTTTTTTAATATGTCCAGTGCTGCTTGAATTTGGAAGACCAGTGGACAGTGGACCATCACATCTGGTGCTGCAGAAGTCTGCTGAGTGCTACTAGGTAGTACTGATGATGATGATGATGATTGGGTTGGAGTAAAATTCTGTTCAATGTACGCTGGTTTAAGACGATCGATCGAGATGTTCGATTGACCACTACTGAGCTGAATGGTGAAAAACTTGGTATGACGAGAGAGAACTAGAAATGGACTTGAGTAGCTGGGTGTCAGTGGCTTCTTGGTGGTGTCTTGTCTTACGAAAACAAAATCACAATTATTCAAAGAAGAAGGAACATAGATGTCCTTGGTCTGAAAAAGAGTAGGAGTAAATGTCAAGGCGGACATCCTACTCTGAAGGTACTGAACTCCCGGTTAGAAATTGAATTCCCGGTTAGAAATTGCCCTGCCAACATTAGTGGTTTGCCAAACACAAGATTTGCGGGGGGAACATTGCAAATCCTCCTTTAATAGAGAACGAAGAGCTAGCATAACTAATGGTAAGTTATCCATCCAGGATTGGTTGTTGTCGCTGTTGGAGCTAGTTAACGCAGCTTTTAATTGCCGGTGGAAGCATTCAACGAGGCCGTTAGCACAGAGGTGATATGCCGTTTTTGAAATGTGCTTCGCTCCAAGAAGATTTACAAATTCCTTATACAGCGTTGATTGAAATTGAGGACCGCGGTCTGTCGTTATCACTGATGGGCATCCAAAGATAGAAATCCATTCTTTCAATATCGCCTTAGCATCAGACTCTGCGTTTGTAGATTGAAGTGGGATGGCGACAGGTCATCGTGTAAACAGTAAATCTAAGAATGTATTGGTAACCAGGTACTTCGGGTAACGGACCCACTAAATCAGCGTGAAGATGACGAAAACAACCGTCAGGTACAGTGAAATTCCCTGGTGGGGATTTGATATGATGATGACTGTTGTGATATACTTATAATTCTTTGTATTCATTCAGTTAATTATTTAATACCTTCTACTTATCTGCATACGAACTGTGTTTTCGCGTTGGTTCACGTCACGTGATCTTGTGTTTATAAATAACGGTGGGACGCCTCTATCTTTCTCTCTGGCGTCCGTTCGTTCATATCTTCTATGTAACTGGTAACAGCTTTTTTATGTTGAAAACCTTAATATTCAACTTTCTAAAAAGGTCTCTTTTCATCACAATTTATTCAACAT